AAGACTTCATACACCTCTCTGAGGAGAATCTGAATATGCAGATGGTTTATTCAGACATAAATCTATCAGAGCTAACTATGCAGCCTGTGCAACAGCAGGCACACTCATGCCTCAAGGTGCATCCAAATCACCAGGGAATCTTACTAAAGTACAGGACCTAAGAGTCTACGTTTTTAAAAAAGCTTTATTTTATTTGAAAGGTAGAGAGACAGAGAGGGGCAGAGGCACAGGGACAGAGAGAGATCTTCCATTCACTGGTTCTCTCCCCAGATGGCTGCAACGGCCAGAGCTGCACCGATCCGAAGCAAGGAGCTTCTTCTGGGTTTCCATTGTGGGTACAGGGGTCCAAGGACTTGGGCCATCTTCTACTGCTTTCCCAGGCTATAGCAGAGAGCTGGGTCTGAAGTGGAGCAGCTGGGACTCGAACTGGCACCCACATGGGATGCCAGCACTGCAGGCGGTGGCTTTACCTGATAAGCCACAGTGCCAGCCCTGAGAATATGCATTTTTGAACTCCTTCAGTCCAGGGGCCACAATTTGAGTACCAAGGTACTGAGTTAATCAGGTTTTCTGGGCTCTAGAGAAAATCTGGTTTGACAAGGTCAAGAAAAAAAACTTCTTCCATTATGGCCTATTTCCCTGAGTTTTTATGTATCTGATCATAAAGATTAGTTTTTATATAAATCAAGTCATGTTTGTTTCTAAACAAAGGCATCTAGAAGACCTATTTTAAAAACAAAGTCTTCCCATTTGAGTCCTAAATCTATTGGTTCAAATGTCTCTTCTCCATGGCTTCAAGGTTTTGTATTATCCTCTCATAGATGACATCATGGGGTGTCTGACCCACAGAGGGGTGCCCAACCTCCCACCCCACTCTGGGGACAGGCTGGCTTGACATTTCCATAAGATAAGCACCCAACTGTGGACTTTATAGGCATTGGAATCAGATTTTAGGATTGCTCTGGAATTAGTTCCTTGACTTGGTGACCTATTTTTTCCTTTTTCCTTTTTTAAAAGCCAATTTAGTAATTGTCTAGACTTACTCAGAGCCCCCTTTCAGATATCTTTGTCTTTCTGGTTATTGTCAGCATCATTCATTTTTGCTCTGACAAATAGTTAACTTTATCTTTTCATTCCATTTTCCATGAGCTTCTAAAAATATTAAAACTGTATATGTGAAATATATGGAATTTTTTTTCCTTTATATACATTTTAAGTCAAAGATGACATTAAACTAGTGTGTGTGTGTGTATGGATGGATACGTATTTGTTTGAAAGGCAGAGCAGCAGAAAGAGAGCTTCCACCCCCGATTCACTCCCCCAAATAGATACAACAGCCAACTCTCAGCCAGGCTGGTCGTCTCCTACATGGGTGGCAGGGGCCCAAGTACCTGGGCCAACTTCCACTGCCTTCCTAGGCATATTAGTAAGCAGCTGGATCAGAAGCAGAGCAGCTGGGACTGGAACTGACACTCTGATATGGGATCCCAGCATTGTAAGCCATGGCTTAACTGGCCGTGTCACAACACTGGCCCCTACTTGAACCCGTTGAAGTCCCCTTGTGTAGTATTCATAACAGAAGATGTAAAGCACCTTCGCTTGGGTCCCAAGATCAGATTTCACAAGAGTGAGATGAACGACACACCATCAGAAATTGACTGTTTTCAAAAGAAACAGCAATATCAGCTCAACAAAAGTGTCAAATGTTATTCATAATTAGGAATGCATTAGTCAAAGAATAAGGCCTAGGACAAAGGAAGTAGTGGGCTTTTTCTGCTTTGAGTTGGCAGATCCATATTTGGGGTAGTGTAGTGTTCAGAGACATGCACACAAGTGTGTGTGTGTGTGTGTGTGAGAGAGAGAGAGAGAGAGAGAGAGAGGGTGAATGAAGCAAAAATGATTTTTGATCAATGTCAAAATGTTTCAAAAAGATAGTGATGGAGTTTAAACTGTACTATAAATTTAAGAAATAGGGTAATTATTTTGAGTTGTGTACATGTGGATCTTGGAGTGGAAGCTAGCAAAATATTGATGGATGGATGAATTCGGTGGTGGGTGGGTAGATGGATGGAGAGATTGTCTATTGAGTACATTGCACTTTCTAGGCACTCTGCCAAATACTTTAGTTACATGGGTTGTTTTTGTCCTCCAAACAACCCTTAGAAATTAATATTACTCCTATATGGAAACTGGTAAATGTGAGGCACAGAGCTTAAGTGGCCTGGCCAAAGTCATTGAGCAGGTGACCCATACTTTGTGCCCTGAACTTCTAGTTTATTACCCTGTGTGGCCATCAGAGGGGTGCACTTCTCAGATCTCCATTTAAGAAATAACTCACAGTGGACATGTGGTGCAGCAGTCCAGTTTCCGCTTGGGGAGCCAGCATCCCATGACAGAGTACCTATTTCAGGTCCTGACTCCTCCACTCTACACCAGCTCCCTACTCTTGTGCCTGGAGAGACAATGGAAGATGGCCCAAGGACTTGGGTACCTCCCACCCATGTGGGAGACCCAAATGGAATTCCTGGCTCCTGGCTTCACCCTGATCCATCCCTGGCTCTTGCAGGTCTTTGGACATGAACCAGAGGATGGAAGATCTCTTTATCTCTGCAATTTCCAAATTTAAAAAATGAAAATAGAAAAATCACAACACACACACACACACACACACACAAATACAAATAACTTACTGGCCAGTGGCAAGGTATGCAGGAAGCTGACACCCTCCAGTTGTTAATCCTCTGAGTCTGATTCAGTGTTTTGTTTTTGGTTTCTTTCTGATTTGAAAGTCAGATTTGCCGAGATGGAGAGTGAGATTTCACATCTGCTGGTTCACTTCCCAAGTGGCCACAATAGCCAGGGCAGATCCAGGCCAAAGGCAGGAGCTAGCAGGGGCCCAAGCACTTGGGCCATTGTCAGCTGCTCTTCTTGGGCTATTAGCAGGGAGCTGGCTCAGAAATAGGATGCTGGCATCACAGACGGTGGCTTTGCCAGCTACACAACACCACCACTGGCTTCAGTGTTTGATCAAAGGCCATCTGTTTCTGAGCCCGCCCAGCTAGTGATCTCGCATGGTACCAATGGCAGGATCTTGACAGTCCTGCCCATTGTGGGGCTCCTCCAAAGACCAATCTTTTATTTTTTCTAGAAATGCACTGTATTATTTATTTTAGGGAGGGAATGAGGGGGAGAGGAGGAGGAGAGAGGATACTATCGACTCTTTCACTCCCCAAATACCAACAGATAGGGTTGGGCCAGGCCAAAGCCATGGGCTTGGAAGTTGATCCAGGTCTCCCTACATGAGTGACAGGGACCCAGGTATTTGAGCTTCACTGCTACCTCCAAGGGTAGAGATTAGCAGAAAGCTGGAGTCAGGATCAGAGCCAGGACTCAAACGTAGACACTCCACTAGACATGGGTGTCCCAAGCAGCATATAAACTGCTGTGCCAAACACTTGCTCTGGGACAGTGTTTCTCCAGAACTCTCCATCGAATTGACACAGATCTTGTTGGATCAGCATCACAATCTGAAGCTGCCCAATTCTGCCACCTCTCTCACCCTGCCTTTAGCGTAGGAGTTACTCTGAATAAACTTATTTTGCTGCAAAGCCCACCTGAGCATCTCCTTTACAGAGAAGGCAGCCAGCACACTTTGACTTTAAGTGTCTGGTTTGCTCTAATATGGAAGCACCTTAAGCATTCTTTGGAGTGGTGATAAGCAGCTGAATTAGCACAGAACTACTGCACTCTCAACGCAGTAGTTTCCATAGAAACATAAGGAGCCCTCTAACTACTAGAAGTGCTGAGCTGCCTCAAGATGGATGTATTCCCTATCACCGCAGCCATCCAGCCCATTAGGGAACTGCATGTTGTATGAAGGTTGCATGGACTGACTGCGCTACACCCCCATACACGCTGGGGCACCTGGGATGCTCAACACTCATAACGTCGATGAGTTAGCAAAAACGCACGTTGTGGAGGAAGTCGCACCAGGACAACCAAACCCCTGATTCTTTAGCACGTCTGTAGGTCTGGTTTGGGACACCCACTAGTCCACTCCCTGTCATTGATCCTGTGGGTCAATGCAGCCATTGTCTACATGCTTTCTTTTTTGTTTTTAATTGAAGAGCTGCTATCCAGTAAGATAAGGCTGTGGGCAGATTGTCCCCAAGGTGGGACTAGAATGACACTTCATATGTGCCTGTGTTAAGCAAGCTGTAACATGAGGCTCAACAATTCCTAATGTGCTCATGATTCAACTCATTCTCCAACACATGGTTCTTCAGCAGAATAACTTGTACACCACCATTAGAAGATTCTCTTCCTCAAAGCCATTGCCTCTGTCCCTTCCTCAATACATAGGCACACCAAGTCAAGGACACAGACTGATCCACTCCAAGATTTCCATGGTGGTCAGATGACATAAGTAACCACACACTTCAGAAAGTAAAATAAGAGGTGGAAGAGATTGGCAGGAAATACTGTAGGGTAATCAGCATCAGGCTGTGTATATAATAGGCAGTCATTATGTATGCAAATATTTACGGAGCACCTGCCCAGGGCCAGGCCTTTTTTTGCAGGTGCTGGGGACAGAGTGATATGCCTGACAGTGTCCCTAACACCAGGAGCACACATTTAAATGTCATGGAGAAACTTTTCAAGGGTTCTTCACTGACAGAAGTAATCAAAACTCCAAGCGCCAACAGAGATCATAAAGGGGTACTTGGGAACCTCCAGATTGATACCTTTATCCTCTCTCCCCATCCTCCAATCCCTGTAGCATCCCTGGCATTTATAGTTTACATTTTCAAGCAATAGTTTATGAATTCGCTTAAGAGTACTATTAGTATAATAAAGTTTGTAAGAGGAGGGTTTTCTTTAAAAAAAAAAAAAAGCAAGCTCAGCAATATTTGGGGGTTTTTAAAACTGATGATGCAGCTGACCTACTAGAGACAAAGGCAGTGGGAGGGCCCTAGGAGGTATAAATAAATAGGAGGATCTGGGGCTGTGAACCCACAGCTTGGACCCAGAGCTGCAGGCTGAACTGCACTAGCAGGCAGAATGAGGCTCACCTCGGCATCTCTGCTGTTCACCCTGCTGGTCAGCAGCCTCTCTCCAGCCCAAGGTGAGAACTTTCTCTGATGTTTTCCCTGTCCTTTGAACAGAAACCATCTTCAGGGATTTCAATTAAAAACTGGAAGGAAGTCTGCCTAAAGAGGGGGAAAAAAACTATTTAGTTACTAAAACCAAGATGCTTAAGGATTTAACTCTTAAAAACTGGCAGTATTCGTATTGTTCTGATTTTTCTTATTAGCAGGGGGATATATTGGCAGTCCAGAGTCCCTGTCATTTATGGATGCTTTGCACATTCCTGGTCGTCTTTAGATTCAGCTCCTGTCTAATTCTAGAAACTGATCTCTTACTAGTCTGCCTGTCAATGCTATGCCCTCTGACCAAGCCATTTATAGTGTTTACAGATTGTTGATCTCAGCCAATCTCTTGCAGTGAGCACCTTAATACAATTCCATATGGTTAGACCTGACACCAGGCATCACATGGGCATCAGAGAAAGCACACACAGTCTGCAAAGCAAACTTTTGAGCCTGCATGGGGCAGTTATGTGTGCATAGATAAGTGTCGAGTTGAAGTGGAAGCCTGTATACTGCTGAAGGAGGAAATGCATGTACAGAGACTCTGCTTAGGATTACAGGGCAAATTTTTGTTAAAAGGCAGAGGCTTTTTCCCCAATGATTATTTTGTATCCTGGGTTATTTTCACTCTTCAAGCCCCTCATTTCTCTCCTCCTCGAAGTTTTCCTGTTCTTTGCTAGGTCAGCTATAATAAGTCCTCTCTCCCAAGTTGCAGTTGGGATCTTGGTGTGATGTTAAGGGACTTTGAGAAAATCACAGAAAATAGAATCAAAAAATACATTTCCTTTGAAAAAAAAAAACTTGAAATCCATGCATACTAGGGGTCTTTAGAAATATCATGGAAAATGCATATTATTAAAATCTGTGCATGGGTTGAAAATTTTTTGCACTAAAACAGATATATTTTAATCCCATTTTTGCACAAACTTTGAAATATCCTCATACAATATTTTTCGATATTGTAGCTCTGTTCACTTGTTTCCTCAGTAAATTGTAAGTGCTGTAAGTTTGTCACTTCTGTTTATAAATAAATATTGAGTACAGTAGACACTTTGAATAAAGGGGATGCAACAAGTCTTTTGAAAAAGGTTTGGATTTCATTAAGATACTTGAGCTAGGTTACTTAAAAATATCCAATACTTTTGTTGCTGATAAAGAGTCTTACATTTTTATTATTGGCTTTTTTTGGTAATGATTGGCAACTGAGATGGAAGATCAATATATTAATAAAAACAAAAGTATCTTTAATGTTTTTTCCATGGAGAGGGTGAGGAGGATGATGGGAGAGAAAATGTTAGTGTGTCACTGAGTGCACCGCTACAGCAGGGTCAAGGCCTAGGTTTGCTTGCACAGGGAGTGAAGATGAGTTGATTTTGTGCTGCATTATCATAACTGAGTGGCAATCCTCACACACTGTCATATAGACAATACAGTAAGGACCATTATGATGCTACTACAAATTTCAGTAAGTGTTGTGTTTCGAAGAAGCTAATTTTACTTAAGATTTTTTTAGAAAATGTTGGCAAGTACTCAAGCCAGGGCACATAGATATATGCAAATTGTGTGGGAGCAAACTGTTGAAATCTTTACTTAACGTATGCTGAACTGATCTTCTGTATATAAAGAGAATTGAAAATGAATCTTGATGTGAATGGAAGGGGAGAGGGAGTGGGAAAGGGGAGGGTTACGGGTGGGAGGGATGTTATGGGGGGGGAAGCCATTGTAATCCATAAGCTGTACTTTGGAAATTTATATTCATTAATTAAAAGTTAAAAAAAAAACAAAAGGCATATGGGTGGGAGGGCTGCCTTGAAATGTGTAAATCTTCAAATGCAGAGTAGGATAAGTAACAGGCATAGGTGTTGTGATATAGCAAGTTCAGCTGTGTTTGGGACGCCTACAGCCCATGTCAGACTTCCTGGTTCTGGTCCAATCCAGATTCCTGCTGATGTGGATCCTGGAAGGCAGCAGGTGATGCACCCAGATGGAAGACTCAGATGAAGTTCAAGGCTCCTGGCTTCAGTCAGGCCCAACCCTCATTGCTCAAGAATTGGGAGAGGGAATTGGTGGATGGAAGATCCCCCCCTCCCCCCTCTTTCTCTGCCTTTCAAATAAATGAATGAACATTAAAAAACAAGGATAAATAATTTCTAGTTATGAATTATCTGAAAAGACTCAACTCTGCATTCACAGGTGTCCTGGAGGCCTACAACACAGACTTGAAGTGTGAGTGTGTTCAAGAGACTGCGAACTACATCCCCATACGCTTCATCGATCGGCTCCAAATTGTGCCCCCTGGCAATGGCTGCCCAAAGAGAGAAGTCATGTAAGTTGCAAAAAAAAAAAAAATTAATATGAACTCTTCTGCCTATTGAAAATTAGAACACTGTATAGTAACATTTGATCTTACTCAAGAATTTCAAAGAAACTCGCCTCAGTGTAGCTAAAAATGTTAATAAGAATTGGTAATATTTTACTTCAGTCATAAGCTATGTGACAACATTTGGGTCAATGGACCACATATATGACAATGGTCCCATAAGTTTGTTATCATCTAGTGACATCATAGTTTCGTAGTGCATGTAAGTATATTCTATGATGTTCCCACAATGCATTTATCAGAACCTGTCCCCAGCATGAACAATTCATGACTCTCTGCACTTGGTAGTAGCACTCAGCTCGGTGCCCTGCAGACATGCAATCCCTTTTTTCCTTCTACAATTTCATTAAGGCAAGTGTGGTGGTGTCGTTCCCTGACAGACTAAAATCTGGGGCGCTGGAAAGTTAACTCACTGCCCAACTCACACTGCCAGAAAGAAATGGAGCCAGGACACTATACAGGTTTTCCTATTTCAAAACCACTTCTGAACGCCTTGGGGTACCCACTGGGCACCACATCTTTCTCAGGACAACTCTGAGTTGCTTTCATTGGTAACTCTTCCCATGGACTTCTTTAGACTTTTTTGGAGTATTTGAAAGCATCTGTTCCGTTTTGATACTAGTGCTTTGGACTGTGGACTGGTGATCTTCAACTTCTAAAAGCTAGTTTTTTAAAAGTGATACATCAAAAATGTATACAGAACAATTTTCACCCAATAGGCTTTATATACTTACCTATATACCAATGAAAGTTTTAACCATACCACGAACTCTGAGATGTGAAAGTTTTAACCAAGCCCTCAAACTTGGGAAGTGACGTCAAGCCATGATGCTTTCGGGAGGTTATATTTCCTCTGTCATGACTCAAGTGTCACCTCTCAACCAAAGGAACTAACACAGCCCAATTTATTTTTGTTTTACTGGCAATCATTTTCAACGGATATAGAAGTGAAAACTTCGCATTCTTGAAAGTAGTTCATACCTGTCAGGGATGAAAATATGGTGAGTCCAGGTGGTCATAAATCCACGTAGAGTTGGAAGCCAGATTGTCGGGGTCCTCCTGAGAACCCAAATTGCCCATGACCTCTGACTTCTCTGAGATGCACTTACAAAGGTAGAATCTCAAAGTAAGGTGGGTGGATCCTTGATGTTTGTCATTTTATATCTCCGATAAATGGCATTTCAAGAAATTGTTTCATTTAAGCTCACACCTTTAGAGCATAGAGTCTGTTTTCTACCTGCTAGGAGACCACTTTTCCACCACAGTATAGCTCTAAACACCTTGTCTAGCATTAAGGTCATGTTTATGAAAATCAGTGGCTAACATTGTTGGTTCTGGATATAGCCTACATTTTAGCCATGATTTATTATATTGCATAATCCTGGACAAATTATTCAAACTCTGTAAGCCTCAAGTCCTTCCTCAGGAGGTGAAGAAATAATAGTTCCTCTAGCATAGGATTTTTTGACATGAATTGAGCTAATTCCATGTTACCTGCTGAGCACAGTGCCTGGAGTATTCTAAGTACTTGATAAATACTAGCTATTATTTATCACTGCTACTTGTATTACTGCTTAATTTCTTAGAGTGGGGAAAGTCTTGCTAACTGGTGATTCAATAGGACATTGATGTTACTTGGAGCAATCAGCTCTGCAAACCACATTAAAGTTCCTTGACTATTTTTCACATAAAAGGCACTTGAGAGCTTTTTCTATTACCTATTTTGTTCTCAATGGACAAGCTCAATGGACATTTTAAAGATACTGTAATATGATATTAGAGGTGAACCAACCTTGGAGTAGCTATTTGGTCCTTTTCCAGTTCTCGCCATATTATTGACAAAGCCCTAACCTTTGACTTGTAAGCTTGTCAGCTTTGTATTCTGCTGCAACATCTCACACGTACTAGGTCCCAAATGATTTTCTTATTCTTCAGACCTCATGATACTATCACCTATTCCAGACTTCAAAATGCCCAGCCCTAATTTCATACCCAGCTGTTTCCATTGTTGAAAGTACAACATTGGAGCCAGCATTGTGGCATAATGAGTTGAGCTACTACCTCCATCTCTGCATGCCATATGGGCACTAGTTCATGTTCTGGTTGTTCCACTTCTGATCTAGTCCATGCTGGTGCATCTGGGAAGGCAGCAGAGGATGGCCCAAGTGCTTGGGCTGTTGTACCCATGTGGGAGACCCGGATGATGCTCCTGGCTTTGGTCTGGCCCAGCCCTGGCCATTGCTGCCATTTGAGGGTGAACCAGTGTATGAAAGATCTCTCTCTTTCTTTGTCTCTGCCTCTCTCTGCAACAGCCTGAAATAAGCAAATATTTTTTTAGAAAATGTCTACTTTCCCATTTTAAAACAAGGTACAACACTGACTAAAATGTAACACTGCTTTATTTTATTATCTATTTCTCCCCCAGAGTGTGGCTGAAGACGAAGATAGCTGTATGTGTGAAACCTCATGCCAAATGGCTCCAAAAACTCATACAGATACTGCAGAAGTAAGTTAGGCACACCAAGTGCTTCCAATCTGTACTAAGGGTTTTCCTTTCATGTAGGGTCAAGATGGGGACCACTTAAGATTTATGAGCTGTTCCTTAGACAAATTCTGTTTTCTGCTAGTATTACTTACTGGAGACAGTGGAGTGACTCATTATAACAGTTCAGTTAGCTAAACCAGAAGCCTATTGCACCATATGTCATTGACTGATATCTCCAGGGGCAGGGCACAGTTTCTTGTGGCCATTTCTCTTACCATACCATTTTTGTCTTTGCAGAAAAACTATGCTTTCAACTCCACCAGCTCCAGTGATTTAGAGAATGACCACCTGAGACAGTGTCCCCACTAAGAGTACCTACATTCCCCCTTACCTCTGCTCTGGATTTTAGTTTGTGTTTGGTTGAATCATGTCCAAGAACAAATTCTTCTCTGTGCAAATGAGCGTGAGACTGTATGTAAGAATAACCTTGCATAAGCTGACGGGGCACACCCAAGCTTCTTCAGACACATTGCCCCATATGCTACAAGTGTCTATTCGTACTCATCAGGGAGGAGTGTTTCTTTGAGAATTGTTGCATTACAAACTACATTGGTTCTTTTGATAATACTTTCATATCTATTGTTTAATGCAAAACTTCTCTAGGAAATGAGGGAATGAGAACTTACACTTCAAACCTGAACATGTGACTTGAATTAGAAGAAAATGATGGATGTATTTCGATCATTTGATACCCAAAGAGAAGCAGGCCCCTATGACACACTCAAAAAGTAGCCTGGGAAACTGATGGAATACCAACCTGACGAGAGGCAAAGGGATCTACACAGTAGACTACTGTGCTTAAAAACTCATTGTTGAGGCGAGCACTGGGCCTCATGGTTAAGACACCCACATCCCATATTCGAGAGCCTGGATTGAATACCTGCCTCGGCCCCTAACTCCACTTCTTGCTATTACAAACCCTAGGGGGTCGCACTGATGGCTCAAGTAATTGGATTCCTGCCACCCACATGGGACCCTGGATTGAGTTCCTTGATCCTGGTTTTGGCCCCAACCCAGCGCCAGCTGTTGCAGGCATTTGGGGGCTAAATCAGCATATGGGAACTCTTGCTCTTTTTGCTCTGTGTCTCTGCCTTTCAGATAAATAAAATTTTTTAAAAATCAAAATAAAAACCTATTGAGGACATTACGCCTTCTACTTTTAATGGTTTCTTTTGTGAAATTTATTGTCTTGGGTTAAAATCAATAAATTCAGACAAGGAAATGGAAAAGCTACTTGCCTGGTTTTATCGGTTTATGGTGTGTATGTACATTGAAATATTGCACTGAACTCCCTGAGAATGTCATATTACACATTAATCAAAACTCTTAAACATTTTTCTAAAAAATCAATGCCTTTAACAGATCTCTAGTCTTAAATTCATAGAATATTCAGGAAACACTGAAAAGGTGATATACAGATGGCCTCTTACATATTTGTCTGGACAAACATTTTTACCCAGATTTCCTTTTTTTAACCATTTTTCTCTTGATCCCTGTTACAAATACTTTGCTGCCTATTAATCTAATGTCATTCAGCAAACTCAATTATGAACAATTCATTCTTTTTTGACAGGCAGAGTGGACAGTGAGAGAGAGAGACAGAGAGAAAGGTCTTCCTTTGCCGTTGGTTCACCCTCCAATGGCCGCGGCCGGTGTGCTGCGGCCGGCGCACCGCGCTGATCCGATGGCAGGAGCCAGGAGCCAGGTGCTTTTCCTGGTCTCCCATGGGGTGCAGGGCCCAAGCACTTGGGCCATCCTCCACTGCACTCCCTGGCCACAGCAGAGAGCTGGCCTGGAAGAGGGGCAACCGGGACAGAATCCGGCGCCCCGACCGGGACTAGAACCCGGTGTGCCGGCGCCGCTAGGCGGAGGATTAGCCTAGTGAGCCGCAGCGCAGGCCTGAACAATTCATTCTTAACTCAGATGGAGATGTTCTCTGGCTCTTCATCATGAAAAGTGGGGTTTTGTCATGTGGATTTGCTTTGTACATCATAGCCTTCACAGATGACCTGAAATGACATGTCACTGGGTGAGTGAAGCTATTCCCACTGCCGACGAGATCGGAAACGCACAGCTGGGAGAGCCCCTTTGCCCCAATGCGAGAATCGTGATTCCCTCCAAGCTCGACCTGTGCGTGATCCCATTTTCACCATCTCGCTATATGAGGGTACTTCAAAAAGTTCTTGGAAAAATGGAATTCAAAGATAAGCCATCTTGCAATCCATGCAGTTTTTTCTCCTGTGCATTCTCTGTGAAGATTTTGAAGACCCCTCATATTAATTCTTAGAGTCTCCGATGTTTCATTCGACAGTTTTACACTGAGTTTCACAAACGAGACTCCATGTGAACGAACACATGTCCGCTCCTCCTCGGCAGCTCGCTGGGCTGCACTGCCTGTCTGGGCCTTCTCCAACTTCCCAGCTGCCTTCCGGGAAGTCTGCTCCCAGCAGCGTTTGGTTTGAGGCGATATCTGGCTCCCTCTTTTATTTATTACTACTAAACAAAGTGCTTAGGAGAGGATGAACTGTGCCTGTAAATGCTGTATCTTCTGAGTCTATAATTCACTTTTATTGCAGATAGACACACAAGAGGATTATAAAATGTCATCAATCTTAGTGTTCATCAACTTCAATGTTTATAGGTCAGAAATCAGTTATTTCTTCAATTTGATTTTGATCTTGGAGAATGATTGGATTTAGGAGCCTTAAAATCTGTATATATTAAATGCATGAAATTGTACTCCTTAAAGTTTTAAAATTTTCTTTTAAAAATCAAACACTGCCATCTTGGGGCCACCACTGGGGCACAGCAGGTTAAGCTGGTGCTTATGACACCAGCATCCCCTACAGCAGTGCCAATTCACAAGCTGGCTGCTTTGTTTTTGATCCAGCTCCCTGCTAATGCACCTGGGAAAGCAGCAGAAGATGACCCAAGTACTTGGGCCCCTGCCACCCACATGGGAGACCAGATGGAGTTCTGGATTCCTGGCTTCACCAAAAGATGGAAGCTCGGTCTTGCTCACTCGCTTGCTTGCTCTCCCTCTTGCTCTCTGTCATTCTTTCAAATCTTCAAAAACAAATGCTACCATCTCACAGGAAGCAGCTGGAATCAATGCCCCTGTTTTACACCTGTCCCACTCAGCTAGGACACAGAGTGGTGAAGTGACTGGCTCAAAGGCTCCCAACTTCTAGGTCCAGCCAAAACCGGAACCCGGGAGCTGGAATCCGTGCTTCTATCCACTGCTCTGCACTGAGTACATAGGAGGGTGAGATCAGTAGAAACTGAGGCTAATAAACATTTATTGCCTTAAATCCCAGAAGCAATAAAGACGAATCAGGATTTAAATCCAGGAACATATGACTCTTACGTAAATGCTAGTCATTCCTTTCCACGAGTGTATTTCTTACACCTGCCCCTTCGCCGACCCTCTTTTACAGAGAGCTCCAGCACATTCAGTCTCCCCAGGTGGAGATGTCCAAGCCCAGGGGAATGAAGGCCATGGGCAAGCATGGCCAGGGAAGCACTGCCAGGACAGGGTGGGCTTCCAACCTTGTGCTTCTCATCACATAAGCACCCATTCCTCAAAAGCCACAGGTCCAGAGCTGACCAGGCTGATGTGGAGCAGGGAGATGAACCCCTAGACAGGTGCTGGGAAACCCATTGAGCCAGGTGATGGAGTGTCAGGAGAGGGGTTATTTTGCTGATCGAGTGGGTTAGATGATGAAAGAGGCAGAACAGAGTTCATGTGTGACTACATTCATCCATACGTAGACCCATATACAAAGCAATTAAAACTCATAGTAAAATAGAGCTGAGAGCAGATACAGGGAATTGAGGGACTGACACAAGTTGGTCTGCTCTGGGCAAGCTGAAGAGGAGGCTCCGAGGCCAGCAAGGCACAGGAGGAATGCGGCAGCATCACCAATGTGTAACAAAGCGAGTAGAGCCTCATTTGTGTTCCTCAAACCTGGCCACTAGGGGCCTCAGGGTGGAAGAGTCTTTGCCTCCATCTGAAGGGGCTCAGCCCTGGCCTCACGCTGAAACATGGCTTGTCCAGCCACAGGAATTCTGTTCTAGGGTCTCTCACTTTCCATTGTCTTCCTCTCCGCAAGTATTCCCTTCCACGGAGATGAGCCCTTTTAATGGTCCCACCTCCACATAGGGATAAGCACATATTCCAAGATTTACATGGGTTAGTTTTGAACAGAATGTGTTGGTCCATGTTTTTAAAAAACTCGGTGGAACAGAGAAGGAGAAGCCCATGAAGTCAGAAGGGAGATGTTTGAAAGAGAAAGCATACCGTTTTGTCATCCTCCATGACACAGTGTCTCCATGGGTGGCCCTCTGAAGTGTGACGTCAGCATCACCTGAAAGCCAGTTAAAATGCATATCCTCCCCATATTTTCCTCAGTCAGGAACTCAGAGGTGGAGCTCAGAAATCTGCATTTCACCAGTTGTGGCATGATAAAAATGTATTTGGTTCTGTCCCCATTGTCATAGATCCCCCAAAACCCTCAGAATTTCCTGAGTGAAAGGTGTCTCCCTTTTAACAGGGATCCTCTTTCAACCACACCTGAGTTTATGCTAATGAGATGGCTAGTGGAAGTCCCCTGACAGCCTTAGGACAGGGGCTCCAAGGCATGTGTTTAGAGGGTTGGAGCTTTCGTGCCCCCACTTCCTAAGCACCTCTAGGAAGAGGAGCGTTGCCGGAGATGGAGTTAATCACCAGTGGCCAATGAGGTAATTGATCATGGCCGAGCAATGAAAGCTGATATAAAAAGCTTCCAGGTTGGTGAAGACACCAAGGGTGGTGCACCTGGAGAGGACGTGGGAGCTCTGTGCCCTCTCCTCCTTCCTTGCCCTCTTCACCTTTTCCATTTGCTTTTCCTGAGTTATATTCATTATGACACATTAAAATAGGAAGTAAAGTGCTTTTCTAAGTGCTGGGAGTTATTCTAGCAAATTACCAAAGGGGGTGTTATGGGAATCCTTGAATTTGTAGTTGGCTAGGTAGAAATGTGAGTTGTCTGGGCATCCCATTTGCAACAGCTATCTAAAGTGTGGGCAACTTTGGGGGACTGAGCATTTAACTTATAGAGTTTGCACTAACTATAGATAGTGTCACATTTGAATTCAATTGTTGGACACCCAGCTGATGTTGCAGAATCAGAAAATTGGTAAATTGTTTGATGTGAACAGCCACCTGAGGAAAATTCTCTCACTAATTAGGACACTGGTCAGTTTGGCAAGCATTGCTCCACTCTCACGGTGCATTCCAGCCATCTGGGGAGCTTGCTTTTTCTTATGTCAAGTTAATTAAGCTGTAGTTTTATACAGCAAAATTTCACGCTCTTTGAGTCTTCAGTTCATTGAGTTGATTGAAACAACCCTAACCAACCCCTGCTCTATTCCTATAATTTTGCTTTTTCCAGCATGTCATGTAAATAGAATCCCACAATAAAAAGACTTGGTAAGTTCACTTTGTGTCACAGTGCTGAGACTCATTAGGTTGTTGAATACATCACCAGTCTATCCTCTCCTGTTGCTGTCATTCCATTGGAAGCGTATTGCACAACTTATTTATTCACTCACCAGTTGATGGACATTTGCATTGTTTCCAGTTTTGGGCCTTTATGAACAAAACTAATACCAATATTTATGAACAATTCATTGTGGAAATATAGGTTTTTGTCAGTTAATTACCCAGAAGAAGGATTGCTGGGTTGTAGGGAAGATACATGTTTAACTTTCTAAGATGCCAAACTGTTTCCCAAAGTGAATATACCTTTATGACTTCCTACCAGCAATATGTGAGAGTTCCAATTGCTTTACTTCTTCACCAGCCCTTGGTATTCTTGGCCTTTTACATTTTAGATATTTTAGCAGAGATTTAGTCTATTATGATCTGAATTTTTATTTCCCTAATGGCTAAGGGTATTTACCAGTTTTTCATGTGTAAATTTGGTCTACTTACATTAGAAATCAGTATTACATGAAATCCTGTTTTCATTGAGTTATGTTGGTAATGTTGTCGAAAAGAAATTGAATACATATATTATATTTCTGGGCTGTATATTGCCTTTCACTTGTCAATATGTCTATCCTCATGTCAATACTACATGGTCTTGATTAGTATAACTTACT